ATTTGAGTCGTTATGGAAAACACAAAAGCACAAACAGAAAGTGATTTCCAAATGTACTTTGACTTGTATCACACTGCAGAGAGCACAGCAAACATTACTGAACGTGTTCCTCACGATTGTATTGTGTTTTATTAATAAACCTGTATTCCAGTTCTGCTTCTTGCAGCACATTTCAAAAACAGTCATTTCAGTAAAGCATTTACCGCTCTGTAATGTTGCTGTTCCTGTTCACAACACTTAATAGATGTTCAGGGACTGAAGACATCAAGTGATGAAGAGTTTCAGGTGTCATTTTGTCCTATGCTAATTAAAGACAAGTCTTAAGGTGTGCAACAGTACGGGGTCTTCGTTGTTGCATTTTGCGCTTCAACACATTCTCTATTGGAGACAGGTCGGGACTGCAGGCAGGCCAGTCCAGTACCTGTATCCTCTTCCTCTGCAGCAGGACTCTGTAATGTGTGCACAGTGTGGATCTGCAGTGTCTTGTTGAAATATGCAGGGCGTCTCTGGAGAAGGCGGCAGCATATGTGCTCCACAATCTCTCTGTGCTTTCAGCATTAATGGAGCATCACAGAAGTGCAGTTACCTTCGCCAAGGCCACCGACACAACCCTCATACCTTCACAGAGACTGGCTTTTGGACTTGTTGCTAGTCTGAATGATCCTCAAACCTACACGGTGTTCATTTCTCCCAATAACACACCTGAAATGCTGATTGATCTGAGCACAGTACATGTTTCCACTGTGTGATGCTCCATCCCAGAAGCCTCCGAGCCCAGAGACGTCGACAGCGCCTCTGGACACTGTTAACATAGGGCTTCCTTTCGGCACAGTGCAGTTTTCACAGGCATTTGTGGATGTAACTCTGCATTGTGGTTCTTGATAAAGGTTTGTCGCAGTAGTCCTGAGCCCGTGTGGTGATCTGGCTTATAGATGAATGAGGATTCTTGATGCGGCGCCCCCTGGGGGATCAGAGATCACGGTTGTCCAGCTTCTGTGCTACACACACTGAAATTCCTCCAGATTCCTTCAATCTTCTAATGATGTTCTGCACTGTTGAAGGTGAATTATCCACATGTCCTCCTCTCTTTCTCTGAGGAACATTGTGTTTCAACATCTCAATCATTCGCTCATGTATTTGTTGTCAGACTGGTGATCCTCGGCCCATCTTTGCTCCTAAAGAACTAGACCTTTCCTGATGCTGCTTTTGTACCAGATCCTAATCACAATCCCCTGTCGACATCAGCTGATTCACATCATTATTTCTCCAGTTTACTGATCACTGCCCTAAACTGCTCCTGACACAACTGCTTCTGGAGTGTGTTGCAGGTCTGAATGACAGGAGATGATGTTTATTAACACATGAAATGAAGCCGAGCAGACAAAACATCAAATATTTTGTGTTCATATACTGTCTGCCATCAAATACAAGTCAGAATCAATTAGAAATCGCTACTTTCTGTTTTCATTTGCGTTTTCCAGACTGTCCCAACTGTTTCTGGTTTGGGCTTGTAACATTATTTTGCTGACCCTGATGGCAGACTGTTTTGTTTGTTTTAAGAAAGCATTTAAATCACAAAATCAGTTTATTTATCAGGGAAGCAGCAACTACTCCAGCATGTCTTTTACACAGCGAATGCCCTTCCAGCTGCAAACCTGTTGAGTTTCTTTCTTCTGTTGAACAAAAAAGAAGATATTTTGAAGAATGTTGGAAACCGGTAATCGTTGACTTCCACAGTAGGAACAAAAAATGCAATGGAAGTCAATGGTTACCGGTTTCCAACATTCTTCAAAATATCTTTTTTATGTTTTTCAAAATATTTAAAAGTTGTCTGTTTTGGATGAACAGAATTCTGTCATTATTTACTCATCCTTCACTTGTCACAAACCTGTTTTGCGTTTCTCATGGTGAGCAAAAAGGAAGATATTTTGAAGAATGTTAAAAAGGTGCATCCATTGACTTTCATAGTAAGAAAAAAAAACAAAAAAAAAAAACAATGGAAGTCAATGGTTACCGGTTTCCAACATTCTTCAAAAAATGTAAAATAAAATCTTCATTCAAAACAAAATTCTGTCATCATTTACTCATCCTTCACTTGTTACAAACCTGTTTGAGTTTGTTTCTTATGTTGAGCAAAAACGAAGGTATTTTGAAGAATTTTGAAAAGGTGTATCCATTGACTTTCATAGTAAAAACAAAAACAACACAAAACACTGGAAGTCAATGGTTACCGGTTTCCAAAATTCTTGAAAATTAAAAAAAAAAAATCTGTTCATCCAAAACAGAAAATTCTGTCAATATTTACTCATCCTTCACTTGTTACAAACCTGTTTGAATTTCTGTCTTCTGTTGAACCAAAGAAGATATTTTGAAGAATGTTAAAAACCGGTAATCATTGACTTCCACAGTAGGAACAAAAATGCAATGGAAGTCAATGGTTACCGGTTTCCAGCATTCTTCAAATTATCTTCAAACAATTTCTCTTCATCCAAAACAAAATTGTCATCATTTACTCATCCTTCACTTGTTACAAACCTGTTTGAGTTTTCTTCCTCTGTTAAACCAAAAAGAAGATATTTTGAAGAATGCTGGAAACCAGTAATCATTGACTTCCACAGGTGGAACAAAAAATACAATGGAGTCAATGGTTACCGGTTTCCAACATTTTTCAAAATACTTAAAAGTTGTCTGTTTTGGATGAACAGAATTCTGTCATTATTTACTCATCCTTCACTTGTCACAACACTGTTTTGAGTTTCTCATGGTGAGCACAAAAGAAGATATTTTGAAGAATGTTAAAAAGGTGCATCCATTGACTTTCCTAGTAAGAACAAAAACAATACAAAACATTGAAAGTCAATGGTTACCGGTTTCCAACATTCTTTAAAAAATTTTTTTTAAAATCTGTTCATCCAAAACTTCACTTTGTTACAAACCTGTTGAGTTTCTTTCTTCTGTTGAACCAAAAAAGAAGATATTTTGAAGAATGTTGAAAACCAGTAATCATTTAATTCCACAGTAGGAACAAAAAATGCAATGGAAGTCAATGGTTACCGGTTTCCAACATTCTTTAAAATATCTTCAAACAATTTCTCTTCATCCAAAACAAAATTTTGTCATCATTTACTCATCCTTCACTTGTTACAAACCTATCGAGTTTCTTTCCTCTGTTGAACCAAAAAGAAGATATTTTGAAGAATGTTGGAAACCAGTAATCATTGACTTCCACAGGTGGAACAAAAAATACAATGGAGTCAATGGTTACCGGTTTCCAACATTTTTCAAAATATCTTCAAAATTTTCTGTTTTAGATGAACAGAAATTCTGTCATTATTTACTCGTCCTTCACTTTGTTACAAAACTGAGTTTCTTACGTTGAGCAAAAACAGATATTTTAAAGAATGTTAGAAAGGTGTATACACTGACTTTCATAGTAAGAACAAAATTAAAAAATCAAACATTGGAAGTCAATGGTTACCGGTTTCCAACATTCTTCAAAAAATAAAAAAAAAATAAAAAAATCTTCATCCAAAATAAAATTCTGTCATTATTTACTCATCCTTCACTTGCCACAAACCTGTTTGAGTTTTTTCTTCTGTTAAACCAAAAAGAAGATATTTTGAAGGATGCTGGAAACCGGTAATCATTGACTTCCACAGTAGGAACAAAAAATGTAATGGAAGTCAATGGTTACCGGTTTTCAAACTATTTTCCCAATAGCTTTAAAATTTCTGTTCATCCAAAACAGAAGATTCTGTCATTACCTACTCATCCTTCACTTGCCACAAACCTGTTAGTTTGTTTCTTATGTTGAGGAAAAAATGTTAAAAAGGTGTATCCATTGACTTTCATAGTAAGAACAAAAAAAACAAACAAACAATGGAAGTCAATGGTTACCGGTTTCCAGCATTCTTCAAAATCATCAATTTTTTAAAATCTGTTCATCCAAAACAGAAATTCTGTCATTATCTACTCATCCTTCACTTGCCACAAACCTGCTTGAGTTTCTTTCTTATGTTGAGCATAAAAGAAGATATTTTGAAGAATGAAAAATGTGTATCCATTGACTTTCATAGTAAGAGCAAAAAATAAATAAATACAATGGAGTCAATGGTTACCAGTTTCCAACATTCTTCAAAATATCTTCAAAATTTTCTGTTTTGGATGAACAGAAATTCTGTCCTCATTTACTCATCCTTCACTTGCCACAAACCTGTTTGAGTTTCTGTCTTCTGTTGAAC